GAAGCATCTGTATAAATTAACAGATCGAGCTGTCGGAATTCATAACATGGCCAAAAAGGAGGGACTGACGCTGTAGAGTGTTGATTGGCCTCTGTTCTTGCTCGCTTTGATTTATGGTGCCTGTGCTCACTTGTCTCGGTGCCAGTGACTTAGGAAATCCCGAGATGCTGCCCAGGGACAACCTTGCGCTTTGCCAGTAGTGATAGGGCTTCGGGCGTGTTTCATCTGGAGTTGTGAAATTGGCGAGGCTTCTCCTCGGAAGTGTTGCATTATTATTTACAGAAAAGTTCACGAATGACGCGTCACTGCAAGTCTGGTGTCCGGAGGTGTTTTTTTTGGTAGACATTCCTTTTGAGAGTGAAATTGTTGTCGGTTTTCTGAAATGAATGCACGGGAGGGAGCCACTAGTAACTACAGAAGCTCCTCTCAGAAGTGCAAACGGATAGATCGTTGATAAAAAAAAAGGACATTGCAAAAAGCTTCACTTCCAACATGTTCCAGTCAGTGACGCGGGCCGCTGACGTAATACATTCACTGGGCATTTTTCGTTTGGTAGGCACTCTGTGGACTGACGTGAAGTACCGGGAGATGCAGACAGACTGTCAGAGTTTTTTTTATAATGTCCCAGCAAGTGGGGACCCTACAGATGTAATTGCAGATGTCGCTGTGTGCAGCTCTGCCGAGTCCACCAATCTGATTAAATTGTGGGTCGGCGTCGCGGGCCCATGATTTTAGTGTTGTGAGGATGAAATCATGACTTTTACGGAGGGAGAAATTCCATCTGCTGTGGGAGATTTCTTTGAAATGACCCCGGCAAGTGCCGATAACCACTTTCCGCCGTCGTCGTTTGCAGGTGTGTTTTCCATTAACAACTTGGGGGCCTATATCTGTGGAGGTGCCATTTTTGTTTTATTCTTGAGTGATTGGCATGCGTTTGGAGATCGGCGAGATTGCAAATTGGCACAACTAAAAGTGCTTGGCTTGAAAACTATTGCGTCGACCACCGAGCATCGTTGCAAGCAGACAGTACTGCGGAGATCCTCGAGACGGTGGGCATGTGTGGTGCTGTCCCCTGCAGCTATTATTGCACACCGCAGTGAGGGACGGGAAGACGTAACACAGAGTGGATGCTATCCAAAGTCAAACCCCCCCCCCTTCTCGTCCCCACGAGCACTCCGGAAAAACCTGACTCGAGATTTCACCTGGGATGTAATGATGCAATTTCCGTGCCGTCCTGTATTTCATTGGAAGGGACGGAGGGAAGAAAAACCTGACATCTATGTAGGGAAAACAAAGTCACCCCCCCTCCTTGCTACATACATGTAGTTGACATTTTGATGTCCCTGAAATTTATATGCCGTGAATTTTCTTATGCAACAGAAGAAGAATATAAACATGTCTGCATTTTTGACCGTACAATTCACACAGTTACCCTTTTAGAATTTGATAAATTGCAAGTTAAGTTTTCAGAAAATAAGGAAGTTATACGGAAAATACTAGATTTTTTTTTCAGCATCTATTGGGCCCGCATCGTAGCAAGGCATACGTGAGGTCACGCACTTGGAGTGGAATTGTTTACCATGTGTCAAAATCTAATGCGTACAGTGACCGTGAAAAAAAGGGGCATTCCGCCACGCCGCTTGCATGCTCATTACACTGTTCTTGCCCTCTTCAACGTCACTGTGCTTTAGGCAGTAGCACCTGGACTGGCCAAAACAACAACCCAAAAATGAAGATGGCCCTGCATCACCGTTTCGCAGCACCACGCTAATTGAAAAAAAAACTCACGCGGCCTTAATTCAAGCTGCTTGCACTGAATAGCGGATAGTTTATTATCTAATCCGTGGTTATTCCCGCTGGGTCTCTTTTTGGTGTTTTGTATTTTTTTTCGGGTTGTGGATGGAGACAGCCCGGACGAAGGCCAGCGAAGCATGAAGGAGTTGGGGGAGTCTTATAGGAAACAGTTTGGGCCTCCCTGGTGGCATTCAAATCTGAATTTGTTTATTGGCGAAAATTCACTCAGAGTAATCTCACAGATCCTCTTAGCTTTGCAATGTTGTGAAAACTTAACGGCCACATCGCCCGAGGATACTCTCGCCCGGGTGCCAAACAGAATGTGCCGCACGTAGGCGGACTGTGTACTCCTGAGTTTTTACCCAGGAGAAGAAGTCAAAGAAAAACGTGGACAGCAAACAGCGCGCACCTCAGGAGAGAGTGCTGTCGATAACAAACAAGTTCAGCCAGGGCAAAGCCGGCACTGCACTGTTCAGGTGCTGTGTCACTTTCACCTCCGAAGCTCTGCTGTGCACACTGAATTCAAACAGACAGTTGGTGCCTGTGAGTTTTGCTCCTGGGATGCTTCTGCGTGTACTATGCGTAGCGAGAAAATTTTTGTCCATAAACCTGCACTTTAACCAAGGAGGTTTCATTGAGGTCTGGAACACTCAATTACGGTACATAGTAAACGTAATATGCAGCAGCAGTGTGATTATTAACTTGGATTTGATACAGCCTAGCAGTTGGAATGATCGCGTGATTCTGTATGGGGATAAAATGATAGGGTTTCACTGCACCTCTGTCGGTCCCTCTTTTTCTGGGCAGCTGTGATGTCGTGTACAGTACAGTGTAGAGTACCAAAGGCAGAATGTTCGAGAAGAATAGACTCTTTTCAAGGATGCACTACCGGCGTCCCTAAGAAAACGCCTGCAAATACCGTTGAGATTTGGGGTTAATTTTTTTTTCCCCTGAAGCCCGCCATCAATTCCTTCAGGAAGTAAAATCCTACCTGCTACCCAGCAGGCCATGCTGTACATGAGATTGCTGTTATTTGTCCGAAGTTTTCCAAAAAAGATTCCCTGCTCTGTGTTGGCTCTGATTTGCAGGGAGTCAGGTTGGCAGGGCGGTTCTTTCCTCGCCTTCCACCTCTGTGGTCCCGGGTTTGATTCCCGGCCCGGTCCACATGGGGATGGGTTTTTCAGTCCCTACCTGACTCCGTGGGTTTTACCCAGAATATACCTCTGGGGTTTTCCTCCCACCTCTAAAACTGTAACTGCTTTCTTACTGTTTCCCCTTTACTGATGTTGGTGAATGTGGGTCGTTTGGCGGCCGCCTGAGGTGCCCTTGGACACCATCGGCTCAACCATATTTAAATGTATTCATTGTTCCGCTCTGAATGTCTTAATTGTACAGCGCATTTGAACATGTCTATATGAAATTTGCGCTTTACAAATTATTATCATTATTATTTGCTCAGACAGCCCCGTGGTTTCGAGCATGTCAGTATTCTGATCACAGCTAAGAGAGCTCTGTGCACATGGCTAAATTAATTTGGCATTGCTGTTTATGAGATTAACCTTTCAGTTTCTTGTTCCCCTGTCGCGCCATCTCCCGGCGCAGACGAGCCCAAATTAGGAAGAAAAAAAAAAACTTGGATAGAGATGTGGGATCCCCAAAACATGAACATTCTGTAGTAGACCGCAGCCAATGGTGTCGATTTCTCATTCATAGATCTATGCATGCGTTGGATACTGGACCTAATGTTGGTGTTCCTCTTCACAGCAATTTGTGTTTGTCTCTGTTAGATGCATGTACATGCACAGGTATGAAAAGAAGTGTTTGCATGGTTCTAAAGAGAATACGTGTAGATTGCTTCTTCTGCATGTGCCACCCAACTTGCGTATGTATGTACACGAGCATACGTAATGTATTTGATGGAGAGCTGTGGGCGCATTGAGTGCTTTGAGCACCAGTAATGATGGATACCGGTATGGTAGCTTTTTAACAGGCTAATCATTATGATTAGAAATAACACCTTGAATGCTGTCGTGCGTACGTGGTCTGTGTGAAAAAAAAATGCAGTTGCTTCGTGCATGTAGTAATACATTGTAACTTGATGCCATTCAAGTATGTAGGTGTCCGTTTACAAATGTGTATATCAGTTTTGCAGGAAGCAGTGCCTCTCTGATCTTTGATTGCATGGGGAGTTTGTATGAGCTGTCCTTTTATAGTCAAGCTGCCATCACATTGCTCGTCCCTGGGGCGATTGTTGGCTCGGCGGCGTATGCATGCCCAGCACAGAGATTCTCTCCCTTCCTCTCCCCCGTCCCCTCCAGCATTCCCTTACTGTCTGTGCCGGGGACCGTAAGGCGATACAGCAGCAGTGGGTTGACAGGAGAGTGTTACCAGGTGCAGGCGCTGAGTTTCCAGGGGGGGGGAGGTTCAACGACCTTGCGGTTGCTGCTCAAGGGATGTCCGTGGCTTCCTGCCGGTCTCTCCCATCACATTATTTTACCCGCCAATTTCTTGCCTTCGGGTTTTTTTTTTTCGTAAGGGTAAACATGTGACCGACTCTTCAGGGGCCAGACCAGAAAACTTGACCTGCACACTCTGGAGTTAATGTCTCATTCCCATCAGTGATGTAGATTTTGTTGTAAGAATGGATCTTCGAAAGCATGCATGTCTTTACTGAGAATCAAAGAAAGAAATTCCACAAAATTGCACATTTGTTCATTCACAGGCACAACTCATTGCTTACAAGTAGTGGGAATCGTGTACTTGTAGTCGTAGAAGTGCTCAAAAACTCTACTGCAGTGAGGCGAGCGTTAGTTTTTCTACTTCAAAATGACTGATTCTTTAGTGACGCTAAGTACATGTCATCAGAGTGGGAACTTGCTGGGGGGACCAGTTAATGGTGCTGCTAAGTGCAGGACATGAGACATTGTCCAAACTAATTGGCTGTGGTTTGAGAGGACACTTGTGCTTATGGGAAGCCTCTTGCCAGCAGCTATCAATCAGGACCCATAGGCTTTGTGTGTCACTGCTGGTCATAGCCAAGTCATTTTGATGTGGCTTTCCTCCGCCAAAACAGGTTACCAGCCAATATTCCCCGCAGTGTGTATTGCTTTTAAATGGTTTTTGCCTGGTGCACGTAAATCACCTCAATCCCCCGGAGGACTCTCTGCTTATAATCCACGATGTCCAATATCCTGATCCTTTGCCAGGCATTGCTACAAGCGCATGACGTGGTTGCCCATGAGGTCTACAGCGATGCGGCCATCCGCGTGACTCCACCGCCCACCTCGCCTTTCCTGAACGGACGGGAGGAGATGCAGCCCCCCAATGGGGACGTGGAACCCATGGACTCGGTCACCCGCGTCCGGCTGGTGCAGTTCCAGAAAAACTCGGACGAGCCTCTGGTAAGAAGCGCATGAACAGATGGTAATACTAACACTCACTAGGGTGTCTCAACTTCATATCTGTGGATAGGAATTAGTGTAATAGACACTTTTCATAGGGAGGACATTGACGATCATGTTCCCTGAGCTATCTTATTCATTTTAATCTGTCAAGCAGGACAGTGCCAGACTATTTTGGTCCTTAACCTCATTTTTCATTTTTTCAAATGTTGGTTAAAACATTTAGATGCAAAAAATCACAAAATTATGCATCATTCTAAATAAAATTAATTTGTAATGAACTTTTATTTCATTGCTTTCATTTTTATTCTTAGGTTTGCCTCATTTTTAAGTCAATATGGCCGACTTGAACCCTGTCAATTTACTTAACCGATTGTCAGTTGGTGGTGGGCAGTCAGTCTGTTGCTAGTCAGTTGTCATGTGTTTTATTCAGTCACAGTCAATCAATCAATCAATCAAAGTCAGTCAGTCATTGAACCAGTCATTCTCTGAGTCATTCAGTCATTCCGTCAGTTATTCATTTAATTATGCAAGTATTGTAATCATATCGATCTGTGAGGCAGGTCGCGGCTGGGACATGAAAGCAGGTTCTTAACTTCAGCAAAATCACCAAGGGGCCTGTTACATTGTAAAGTAGCCAGCACAATACGTCTTCCAATACTGGCATGTCCCCCCCCCCGAGTGTAAGGCCATCCTGCGCCTGGATTGGTTTTATGAAAGGAGGGAAAGAAGAATACATCAGCCATGGCTTTAATTATTTCACATTTTCCTTCCGCTACCGTCAGACTTTTTCTCAAAGTCTCCATCCTTCCTAACCCCATTTTTCTTCTCTGGTTACCTCTTCGGTAGCGGTCAAAAGTTTTTACCTGCAATGCGGCATTGCACCGATTGATGGTTTAATTAAAGAGCCCCGCTTACAAGAGCTCGAAGTCACTCAAACACATCAGAGTCGTGCCTCCTGCGTTTCGCTCAATTAAATGTTCCCTCATTTTTGTTCCACTCAGTATGCACCTCGTCAGACCTCCGCCGCACTTGAGGAATGACGAGATCAGAAAACGAGAGACGTGATCGGTCAATACAAACAACAACTGGCAACGTTTGCCGTGCCCGTTTATGACAAAATTGAAGGAGAAATTTGTGGGCAGTCGTATAGTGTGGAAACATTTCCCCGACAGAGACGGACATTTTTCATGCTGTCATTTTCTGGTGGAATCTGCAGGGTTCCATTCAAGCACACAGTATTTATATTTATATTAAATGCACCGTTTTGGCCTTCACCCAGGTATAACAGTACTAATGTCAGCCCTTTTGGTTAGCTTTCCAAAAAAAGAGCAAAGTTTGATATGGGCAGCAAACCTGAAGTTTCTAGTTCAGACGCGTACTACCGTAGCTGCCCTCTTGTAATCTTGGCTGAGTTGGCTGGTTGTTTGAATTCAGCACGGCTGAAGGTGTCACAATATCAAGGGCCAGACACACTGTACGAGGAAGACAGTAAACCCTACTTATATATGAAACCCTGTGTCTGTAAAAACAGGTCTTTTGTAAAAAAAAAAACCCACGTGCCCAAAGTGTGAAGAATTCCCTCAGATGTCATGCACAGATGTTGCAAGGAGGCAGCATCAGCGTGTCAATACACCTGTGAGATCATCTTCAACCTGTTTTCCTCAAGTTTTCTCGTGTGAGGCACAGCAGCAAGAGGGCACCTTTTGCATCATGGCATTGGCTGGAACGTGACCCACTTTTCAACTCAGTGCACCTCTTTGAATCTCATTTCCTGCTCCGTAAATGGGTTAGACCCGATTTCATTTGCAAATGCACAAAGTTCGTCCGGGAAATCTGGCTTTTCCATTTTCTATGCTCTATTTCCACTAAATTTTTTTTTGTCAATACGACTTTTTTTGTTTTGTTTTTTCAATCGATGATCTAGGAAGTCTAATTGGATTCTAAGTAATGTTGAAGATCTTATAAATTCATGGAAGCAGACCCAGTAGGTTTTTCCCCTTGTCCTTTTTTTTTCTCCACTTTTCTTTCATCACAGAATAAGATTATTGTGAGACAAGCTTTAGCAGTGCAAGTGTAAATCTCCGGAGCCACACTGTCTGTGGAGCTGTGCCGAGATTCATGCAATCGAGGATGGTCAATTTCACGCACGCTTTAATTCCGTCAGAGGTCCGGCGCTATCTAATACATCAGAGCGGCGCGCCGGGTCATCGGCGTTGTCGCGTGGCGGTGTGTTCCACATCTAATCAGCTATGATTGGTAGTCTGAGTCCCGAAGGCTGTTTGGATTGTAGTCAGTTTATGTCTACACATTTAGCAGTTAGGATGTATTTGCATGCCACACATAAGGGAGTTATCCACAGAGAAACCAAAGTTGCTGGCAGTGGGTTTGTTTACTTTTAGTTTGTCAACATTGACTCTTCGGCCCTGGAAACTACGTTTTCAGGTGTTGAAATCAAATTTCCTGAGTTAAAAAAATAAATAGATAGGGGCGTGGTCAGAGTAATTACTTTGGGTAAAGAAAATCTTATTCTGTATATGGTTTCATTTGACAAACAAACAAACAAACAAACAAACAACCCAACAAACAAAATAAATTTAAAGGATCCAGGAAATGAGTTTTTCTTAGGATCACTTTTTGTGTATCTCTGTACTTTTCTTCCATGTGTGAAGACTGTTTGACATCTTTTCTGAGTTACGTGAACTGAGCAGTGCACGTTTTCAAACATTAAAAATTGACCAAGCATTTCTGGACAAGTGAGGGCACTTTTACTTTCATGTAAATCCAGGAAGACCTTGTTCATGTTTTCATGTTAAAATTGCGAATCCCAAATTTGCTGTCTGGAAACATTTCTTTGAAAAGGTTTTTTGCTGAATTATTGCCATATACTTACACAGCAGTAAATTACCAAATAAAATGAAATCTGCCATACCAGTGGTTAAAAAAATCTGAAAAAGTCAGTGCAACATTGAGATTCATTGCCTTGGATAACATCATAGTTCTGCTCATGAATATGCAAATTTCATTAGCATAAAAACCACAAAAGCATCAAAGTTTGGGTTAAAATTGCCAAACAAAATTTTGAAATAGGTTAATTGAAACCGAAGGATGCAATTTCAATTTCAATTTTTGTGTGACAAGTCTTCTCCCAGGTAATTAGTGGTTTGATGAGTGATAATTGGTGATGTTTGTTAAGCCATTTTTTTTCAGGCACAAAGAATTGGCCTCCAATTTTTGTATTACCCCATTTTAAATAATCCTGCTTCCCTAATCACCCTCCTCTAATTTCAATCCACGTTTTTTTTCATGGGGGGATGGCATTTCTTTTCAAAGACAGGGGTTGTCAGTGGACAGAACATGCCTTGTACTGTTAACAATTCAGCAGCCACTATATTTCAGTCTGTGGTCGGCTGTTCACCTCCACTGATCCCATTCCCCTAATCTCAATGCTGCTAATCCCCGATAACCTTCCCTCGCGCAGGGCATCACCCTCAAGATGAACGATGACCGGCGCTGTATCGTGGCCCGCATCATGCATGGTGGCATGATCCACCGGCAGGCCACCCTGCACGTCGGCGACGAGATCCGGGAGATCAACAATGTCTCGGTGGCCAACCAGACGGTGGAGAACCTGCAGCGGATGCTGCGAGAGCTGCGGGGCAGCATCACGTTCAAGATCGTCCCCAGCTATCGGAATGCACCTCAGCCTTGTGAGGTGGGTGACTGAAACGTAACAAAAGTAAACGTTCCCCGTTCTTCTAAACGTCAAACCTTGTTTGAAATAGTGCTTAGGGTTCTTTACTCACAAGGAGCTGGTCGGGTTCAAACCCAGCTGCTGGCCATGTGCTATGTCCCTAGGCAAGCCATTTTACCTCCCACTTGTTGCGGTAAGGGCTCTTCACTCATGATGAAAGGGTCAGAGGTTCAAATCCAGCTGTTGGCTGTATGTTGTGTCCTTTGGCAAGCTACTTTACTCGTCTCTTGCTCTCTACCTGCGAATACAAATGGGTTCCAACATTAGCTGGAAAGAAATCTGAGAGGGATTTTCATTCTGTCCAGGCGGACGAGAAATCTTCTCTGAAAACTGGGCAAAAACACCAGCATGCTGGGCCACATTGGCTCGCAGTGACCCTCCTACTCGGTCAACGTGAGACTATAAGTGAAATATATAACTATCAGTGAGTGAAGATGTACCGATGTTTCCCTTTCTCTCTTCAGATTTATGTACGAGCCCAATTTGAGTACGACCCCGCCCAGGATGACCTGATCCCCTGCCAGCAGGCCGGCATGAGCTTCCGGTGCGGCGACATTCTGCAGATCATCAGCAAGGACGACCACAACTGGTGGCAGGCCCGGAAGGAAGGCGAACCGCTCAACGGGACAGCAGGACTGATCCCGTCACCCGAGCTGCAGGAATGGTTAGAGAGTCATTGCTTGCCATAGAGAATGCCTATAACCGATGGGAAGACCCCCATAACCAGTGGGAATATTGGATTGAGAGAATCGATCCCATAGAGTGGTGAGAGATGCCCACAACAAGTGAAAAACCACCAAATGGGATAGGCATTGTACCATGGAAGGATACCCACAACCAGTGGAAAGCATTTAATGTCAGAGGAGTGTTTCCATAGAATGGGGAGATCTCTCATAGCAACTGGAAACCACTGGATTGGATGGGCATTGCTCATGCAATGACAAGTGCCCATAACCAGTGGGAACCAGCGTATGGCAAAAGACCGATTCCATAAAGAAGCAAAATGCCCTATAACCTGCGCTAACAGCCAATTGGCATAAGGCCAGATAATGGCCAGATGTCCATAAGTTGTGGGAACCACTGTATGGTGCAAGACTGATCCCATAGAATGGCAAAATACCCATTATGGGGGACATTACTGGGTAGAATAAGACTGAGCCCATAGAATGGCAAGCTGCCCGTAGCCCACGGGATCCACTCGGTGGGATAAGACTTCTCCCATAGAATGGCAAGCTGCCCATAGCCCATGGGATCCACTCGGTGGGATAAGACTGCTCCCATAGAATTGCAAGCTGCCCATAACCGATGGGAACCATTGGATGGGATAGAATTGATCCCGTATTATGTCTTTATGTCAGTTGAGATCCCCCAAACTCCATTTCCCATGTCTGTTGCATTAATTACATCACTAATCACTCCAACTACGGCTTCATCCTATTAAAACTATGGGCCTGTGGATTGTATCTACCTCAGGAGAGTGGCCTGTCTGGCCATCGAGAGAGCCAAGAAGGAGCAGCAGGCATCGTGTACATGGTTCGGACGGCGGAAGAAACAGTACCGGGACAAGTACCTTGCCAAGCACAATGCCGGTCAGTCTCTCCTGCTAAAAACATGCAGCAGCATAACCCCCATCGCAAGTTTGTCAATCTGGCATATGGCTGACCCAGTGTTTTGGGCTCCAGCAGATTGTCAAAACGGCAAAAAGTATGGTGCTGACATTTTATTTCTGACAAATTAAACACTTGGTACCAGCAAGTCTGAATATGATTGGTATGGAGGTGAAAGTTCAAGTCGGAATCGGAGTAATCATTTTGGAGTATGTCTGTGTTGTTTTAGATCGTGCAAAATCCTGACGATGAGTACTTGATCGCGAGTCAAATTCCTTTCCGCTTCCTGAGGCTGTACTGTGAACCGTCTTGCAGCTGTGAGTGTTTCTTCTTCTGACAGTCCAATCGTGATCCCGTTCAATGTCTTCCCTGTTCTTATTGCAGTATTTGACCAACTCGATCTGGTCACGTACGAGGAAGTGGTCCGCCTGCCCGCATTCATGAGGAAAACACTCGTCCTTCTCGGTAGGTGCCCTGTGTAGTATGACTGAGGGGGAATTCGTTGTGCCTCGCTGCACTCTAGGTTTGCCGCAAGTGCCGTTCATGTTCCCACATGTGGCATTGTCGGAATGCCTTGCTGCGCCCTGATTATCATTCCTTAGATGCTGTTATGAAAAATGAAAAGTTATTTGTATTGTGCACATACATAAGCTTATGCAGCTTATCCAGATGTTAGATTAAACAGGGCATGGCTCTTAGGGCATGAATTTGGTGGTGTGGAAAGTGGTGAGGAGTTATTGGCACTGTGCTTGAACGAAAGAGGGCGCTATGGCACTCATCAAAACTAGCCCGAATTGGATTACTGACAAATTAAAAAAATTACTAAGTTGAAGTTGGTCACTGGTGCCTTGCTCAGGGCTTCATGCACTGTTCCCGTTTTAAGTTCCAAGATGCCAAACATTGAACAGCAGAGGATTCTAGGATATGCCGGAAGGCTCCTCGCCATAATGTCAGGATGGTAGTAGGCTTGGATGTCACCTTGCCACTGCACCAGGATCCATCTTATTCATTTCTGACCCTGTATTTTGAATTGTGACTCCACGACTGCAGTGTTTGTTATTGCCATATAATTTTTTGGAATGGAACTCCGCATGGTCAGAGTAAGTCTTGATGCGATTTGTCCGTTGATGCATGGTGCCTGTGTCTTGACTCTGACCCACAGGTGCCCATGGTGTTGGCAGGAGGCACATCAAGAACACATTAATCACGAGTCATCCAGACAAGTACGCCTACCCCATCCCACGTGAGTAGAACGGCCTCCTGGGCCATCCAGATTTTCTTTCCCGGCTACTCGTCATCCTCCGCTGAGACCAATAACTCGGCAGAATGCGGCCGGGCGTGAGAAACTGTGAGTGGGGGCCACCGGAGAATACCTTGTTGTCAAGCCACTTTGCTCCTAGGCCCTCAGTCGGCTCTGGGAGGAAATGGGAACCTAAAAAAAAAAATGGAAAAACGCCCATCAAATATTTGGGGTTAAAAACGTCATATCCCAAATCTGGCGGGACTTCGAGATTTCACTAAAGTGCACTACCAGAGTTCAAAGCCTCATTTGTCTGTAGTCTGTGCTCTGCATGCATCCACTCTGTGGTCAACTGTAGAGGGCGCTATTTGACTTTGTATCAAGTGCCAGTTGTTGGCATCCATGCCAACAGAGAAAAATTGGTTTCTTGGGGACTGTTACTCGAGATGCGGAGCGTCTCAAAAGGGAGAACTGGGAGTGCTGACCTTGGGGGCTTTTTTCATTTCCTTGTCTGTCTTCTTGTTTTGTCAGACACGACACGGCCCTGCAAGAAGGACGAGGAGAACGGCAAGAACTACTACTTTGTCTCCCACGAGGAGATGATGACGGACATCGCCACCAATAAGTACCTGGAGTACGGCACCCACGAGGACGCCATGTACGGCACCAAGCTGGACACCATCCGCAAGATCCACACGCAGGGACTAATAGCCATCTTGGATGTTGAGCCACAGGTGAGGGTAAAAAAAACAAGGGACCGACTCTTGGTGTTAAGTTAGTCCAAGCCTTAGCCTTTAATTAAAACATAGGCTGTAGCTTCTGGTGTTAGCCATTGGCCAAGCCATAGCCCTTGTCTGAGCCCTAAGCCCTCTCTTAAGCATGAGAGCGTTGATGTTTCTGAATCAATACAGCCCTAGCCCTAACCCCTGTCTGAGCCCTGACCCCTAAACTAGCCGTAGCTATTGACCTAACCCTTACTGTAGCCTTCTAGCTCTGGCTCTTGCTTCTACCCTTTCAAACTCCTGGCGGTTAGACAGGATGCCCACGGTCATGGAAAATTTTGTTCTGGAAAGTCTTGGGAAAGTCATGGCAAATTGAGACAAATATAGGGTATCCTGGAATCCTGTTGTCAGAGGAGAAAAAAAACATGGAAAAGTCATTGAAATCAAGATCATGCAAGCAATATTTTTGTTGGGCAACTTTTGATGTGGTGACGAAATAATGATAAATTTACAGGCTATCCTTGTCAGTCCGTAGTGGCTGTGTTAGTCTTCATGATACCGAAAAGTTTTTCCTTGCAAAATGGCATTAAATGTCAGGGAAATTGTCGTCGTTAAGTCCTGGAAATTCCTGGAAAACTAAAGCACTGACTCTGACCCCGTAGCCCTCATAAGCAAGGATGCTGAGTTAAACTGGAGCTTGGTTAAAGTGCTTTATCGGTCTGGCGCAGCCCAGTCTTGAATCTTGCACAAATTCATTGCACTCCATCCTGAGTTGTCCTTTGAATAACATCCGTCCATCGGATAATCAGCTCGGGGGGGGGGAGTATATTTATGTTGCCCAAGAGTCAAGATTGCCGTGGACAGTCCCAGCATTTGAAGCAAAAGTCACACCATGGTCTAAGCTTTAAATGACAAAATCATTGCATTAGAACTTGAATGATCTGACCACAGAATGCTGCAGCACGTCTTTGCGTGGACAAAGACTTCTGGTTGTGCATATTTGTAGTGGATCTTTACCCGTGTTTACAAATACTTGCCCAGCCAGTCGTGGCTACACCCTGCGTGTTTGCACTCAGTATTTGAACAACTTGGAGAAAACTGCCTCATAGTTTTTAGCCAGTAAACGTCGGATTTTCTGACCCGACAAAGCTGCTGGGGGCAGGTTTTTTTTTTCCAAAATTGCAGTTTGACGTAACCGAGCATGACGTGTCAATATGCCAACCGCAGAATGAAAAAAGAAGTCTTCGAATGGGTGTTCATGCCCTCTGTGGAACAACTCAGGAAAATTATATGTGTTTACACGTCATCTCTCGTGTCAAGTGGTTAAAAGAGCGATCGGGTTTTCTAGTTTGCTCTCGTTTTGTGGGAAAAAGGTCACCTTTGCTGCAGTCCAGTTTGCACCCTGAGAAATTATAATGGCATGTTCAACTCTGTGTGGGCTATTCTGCACTTCACTCAGTAGAGTCAAGTTTTTCCAGAATCTGGAAGAAACTTCTCTCTAAACCTCTGACTCGCCTGTCCTCATTTGATTTATCCTCCCCGTCATCAAATTACTTCAGCCATTTGTTGTTTATTTGCTTCGTTTGGCTCCATGCTGTGCCGCACATGGCAAAACGACTCACTCGAACAGGTGGCGGTTGTCAAAGATGTCAGTCTACTTCAGGTCGTCAACCTTCGGCAATTATAACTGCGCGACTCGACATCTTTGGTCTCTGTGATAATCTGCAGCTTGGGTTGCAAACCGAAGGCCCAGTTGTAATCAGGGACCTGGTGAAAGCTGAGCTCTGTCCCTATTTTGGATCATTTTTAGAGCTCCAATGTTCCAACCAAAGAGGAAAAACAATTTTTTTTTAAAGGCTCTGTAGTAGGGAAGAATGCCGACGTATACAAGGTGTAACTGGCAAACCCCTGTTACACCTCTTAAAACCTTAAACCTTAAGGTGTACCTGCTGATGAATTTTGCGCTCTTCCCCTATACTGCACGGTGTTGTCGTGGATGAACGTGAACTTGTCTCTCACGGTGGGGGTTTTTTTGCTTCCCCTCCCTCCCCCTCAGGCGCTTAAAGTTCTCCGCTGTGCCGAGTTTGCCCCGTTTGTTGTCTTCATCGCTGCACCCACCATTACCGGGATGAACGACATGCACGTGAGTATCGCCGAGGCCTATCCTTGTCTCCCCGTCCCATTTTGGAGGAAGGGAAGAGACGCAAATATTTGTTGCGTCGATTTTGCCCCTGTTAAGTCTTACTGGTTCGTATTCGATGGGCATAATTTGGAAATCATTGAATCCCCGAGCCGGTGTGAGGTTTTTTTCTTAGGCTTTTATGGTCTGAAGAAATAAATTACTTGTCTTTCGCACAAGTATTGGTTTCTCCATTATCAGACAAAATGGACTTCACATCTGTTGAATTGATTGCCCTGTCTCATTTCAAACCTGGAACCTAATTATTTTCAATTAAATTTCTTTGGTGACGAAACCTGATGCACTGTTGCTACAAATTCAGCCACTGGAAATGTATAGAGTGCTTACCATTTTGAAAAAAAACAGATCATCTGACAGAGCTTTTCAGCCCACATATAAGTGTAAATTGTGGTTAAAAACCAACTCCAACGATGCTAGCTTTTCTCATAATGAATCCAATTCAGAAGAGCCAAATCTAATAAAAGTGGCACATATCAATGTCTCCCTTGCAATACACGGTTTTATGTTAAGAAAACACAGTTGTTTTTTTTTTCCCATTTTCCTGCCAGTTCATTCTAGTCCGGGTATTGTAAAAATGGACGTGTCGTCACTGCTCACGATATGTAACGAGTATTGATTTTTTTTTATGCATTAACGTGGAAAGGAAATACCACAGTGCGTGCGCTTTAGGCGTGCAGAGCACGTGCAGCCACAGACCACAGCACGAACTTGAAGAATGCTCTCATTCTTCAGAAACTGGAAGAAGTCCAATCCCGGTTCTTTCGCGGAATTTCTAGTACATCCACCAATGACACGATTTTGGCATTATTGTCAATCATGAAGAAAGGAGCACACTTTTGTTGGAAAAGAGATAATGCGGCACAGTAGACCCGGCACCCAGATCGATCCCTGGTATGCGGTGTATGCGCGCATGTAGCTCCATGTTCATGTATATGTACATTCGTTGCGGAACCAGTCATTCCACAGATGTTACATCATACAAATGCCATTTCTCAACAGCACCGCCAGTGGTCAGATTGTGGAAATTTTTCATGAAACTCAAAGACGGTTCAAAAGTTTCAGCAGAATTACAAAAAATACTGACGCAATACAGACATGATTTGGTAATGAATATATGATTTATTACACATTAAACACAATAATAGTTTGTTTTCAAACCTTTTCAAAACTCTTTAAGAGCACTTTTACAATATTCCTGAGCTCAGAAGTTCGAATCCTGCTCCAGTCAAATTCTGTGTTCTCTCGAATGCAAAGAGGTGGTGTTTGAAACTTGCGCCCACTGTATAATATCGAGATCAATGGGCAGACCCTTGAAATGACCTGAGTTTAGGCTGAAACTTTCGCTGAAATGTTAGGCTCAGGCCTTAACAAGGTTTGTTTTGACTTTTCTGGCCTTATTGGTCAGGCTCTAGATAAGAACCCGAATGGCAGACCGAAAAAAAAAATCCCTACTTACTTTGAGACGAAAATTACTAAGTTCTCTGTCTCTAAGTTTTGAATAATGGGTTGGTATTATTTTGTTTATCTCTTTGTTGTTGGTTTTTGTTTATCTTCAGGACAACGGGCTGGAGAGACTCGGCAAGGAGTCAGAGTTACTCCGCCAGGCCTACGGTCACTTCTTTGACCTGACCATCGTCAACAACGACATCGAGGAAACCATCCGCACGCTTGAGCAGGCCATGGAGGAGATCTGCACGACCCCCCAGTGGGTACCGGTCAGTTGGGTTTACTGACAATAAAAGAAAATAACCCCTCCCATCGGGTTGCCCAGGGACCTATCTCCTGAGAGCTGCTGAGCGAGAGAAGCTGCTTATCGAAAGACACTGTGGGTGAGTAGCGGCAAGCAGGGAGCCAGCTGTAAGTGAATAACACTTCTCATGTCACAGTGGCTGGTCACCGGCTTGCCTTTGTCGCGCATTCGAGCCTGTCTGTTCCAGGCAAATAATCTGTGCTCAGCAGCCCTGAAGAGTCGGTTCCACATCGGAAGTCGATCAAACGCCAACTTCGCTTTAAAAAGATGGGAAATTCTCACTGTCGCAGGGCTCAACTATATCGCTCTTGGTTGTTTTGGATTTGTTTGTATCATGCTGGGTCTTATATGCCAACCTCCACTGAAGCGACAGGGCACAGAAAATTTAACTTGAGCCTTGTCCAAATTAAGTGGCTGTGGCTGCGAGTGATACAAGCATCTATGGGAAGTGGTTGCGGCCACTAGTTGTAGCCATGTAATCTAGACATGGCTAATATGCTAGGGTTTAGGCATGGTGGTATTTTATGTATTTGTCCCAGCCATCCATATTTGCTGTTGCCGCACTGGACAGCCGGATTTTGGATGCGAGATTTTCTGTGTGGGGGAGGTCTCATGCCTATACAAATGTACACTGTAAAAAGGAATTCACATTTGCATCAAAAACGCTTGCTGGCAATTTCCGAACCTTGTGCAACCTGTTTTGAGGTATATGACCAACCTAACGGCCCATGCCAAGTGAGGGGTTGGTACAGGTCACCAGACCAGTGAGCCCAACTGCAGCTGATGCGGTTTTTAGATTCCAAGTTAATGGGATGTGCTATATAATTGGGGTTATTGCTGAGGCTGCCCTTGCGAGTCTGCAGACAGCCTACGGAAATGGAAAGCCAAGACCGTCCTCCATTCACAATAACATTTGTGATACAATTAGCAACCAACTAGTAAATCAGTATAAAGAGCCAGGGCTTGGAGTAATATTTCTCCTCTCGTTTCATCCCCAATAAAGCCTGACAAATTTGAGTTTTACAGGGGGGTAGGAATTGGGCTTGAGCACTTTGACTGTGTGTCGTCGTCATTGATTTTTCAACAACTGTTTTGGTGTTTTTAATGCTGAGAAATAATGAAAAATAAAGCACAAAGTGATTGTTCGCTGAATATGCGGCATTGAACAATGATATTGGAAATATGGGCATCGGACCAGATTATTCACTGTGAGTTTGAGGTTTTTTTTATTGGCTCGTGTTTTGCTGCATTGTAGTTTCGGTATTGAAACGTTTTTAATATATCGTTTATTACCGGAGTGACACTGGGTATTGTTGTCACTCAATTTTTTACCTTTTATTTCTTGGCTTTTTTGGTGGGGGGGGTGTCAATTTTGTACATATTCGGAATAATTTTTAGCAGTTGGTCAGCATTGCTTTGTAGCGATGCGCATGGAAATGCATTTGCTTATTTTTACAGGTGGAAAAACGAGAGCAGATGCAGTGAAAACCTCCTTTTTTATCAGATTGCTTTTAATTTTCATGAAATATTCACTCGTTAGAGATCGACGAGTATGTGGTGTTGGTTATCAGAGAAGCAGATAAAATTAGTGGGAGTTTTACTTGTTTTGATTTGTTTTGTCTGATTTTGTGGTCTTTTTTCTCATCAAAATGAAATTTGGTCCCTCCAATCTCCCTCATAAATTGCTCATAAAGTTCGCTAATCTCGTTGCTGGTAAAGTTACTTTTCTCATGCAATATAATCTAGATATTGATGTACAAGGTGTGTGCTCGCATTACCCCAGAGACGGTGAATCTGTCACATACTCGCTGTATCTGCTTTCTAAACGAAGTGAAGCGGTTGTATTTTGTGATATTAATTTGAAAGACCTTGTTAATGGATTAGTGTAACACATCTTTTCTTTTTTTTTCATGAGAAGTATGATGCCCTTTTGCTGTCGCTTGTTCCATCTGTGCTCTCTGTACTGCTGTGGTTTATCCCTGATCGTGTTTTAAGCTCTTTCTCCAGTTTTTTTTTAGCAGATTTTTACCACATTTTACCAAGTCCCGGTGCATTTGTTGAATCATTTTGAATCATTCCAAAATTAGTTCCGTTTTGTTTGTAGCTGCTGTAAGTTTCTCTCTAACAAAAACGTTTTTCTCCTTGGCTTCTCAGTAGAAAACATTTTTTTTTTTCACAGGAAAGTCAATTTCAATTTTATATCAGTAGTTACAAACCCACTGTGACTTATTGTAATGTACGGTGGTAATATGCCTATAGACAATATGCCTATAGATCGGGTGACCATGGTAATGCCATCACTGGTTGTTTGCAGTGGCCCCCGTTCAGCAATGAAGGCTCCTTTGGTCAGAACTGAACTTCGCTGGTTGACAAACGACTATGAAATGCACGCATTACAGTTGCATTCCTACCAACAAAATGGCTTGTTTCAACCAATGAGGGGTACTTCTGCTCAAGGCAGATTGTACGGAGTCACTGTTCCGTGACAAAACCCAACACAATGCTTAACACCATGAGAGGGGGCCATCAGGAATGTTCAGTGAAATATCAGTAGATTTGTCTTAAACAACGATGCCGAGCGTTGTTTGCGTGTGCACTCTGCACACGGCCAGTGAGGTGGGATGGGATCCATGGAGACCCCGCAGGAAAGCACAAGGACAGAAATCATGAGGTCATTGTTTTTTAGGTCTGTTGTGCATTTTTTTTTATTAAATTGAGAATCATTGTGTCAACATTTTTGGAGCCCAAATAGAGCCCAAATAGAGGTGGGTTTGGAACAGGTGCCCACTGAGAAATGTTGAAGCACTGTGAACTTTATCTTCATTGCCATCCAAGGGGTGTCTTTTTCTTCAGTTTTGAAATGCCTGCCTGTAATTATGTACAGATTGAATTTCGTGAATAATCATTATGTAGATTTGTATATTGATGAATATTAACGACTGGTAGGCTGAGGATTGGTTGGTGTCAGCATGCAGATCGGTTGCATTGCATACAGCAGTGTTCAAGTGCGTATTCATTTCATTGTGCACATTTTTGTCCCTGAACAAGTGGGTGTCCAGAGGGAGAACGGAGCTGAAGTCATAGATTAGGCCAAGATGTACTAAAGGCCTTCGGAAGAGAATATGAATGATGCTCGATAGGCTTGTCACTTGCGCGGACAAAATAAGACGCTGGCACTGTGCTTTCATGTAATGCAACTATAACGTGTTCTTTTGAAAATATTTTCTACCATTATTATGCTAATTGGGGTTATTGTTTTTAGTTCAAGGAACACAGTTTTGGGGACAACGGAAAAGCAATTGGGGGTATGGGGAAAAGAAAATTTATGCAAATTGTCAGTTTATGTTCAAGAATCGGAGCAGCAGAGGCCGCCATTTCCTCAAGTCACTCGGGGTTGTTAAAAAGAGGCAATTGTTCGAACCCAAGTTCATGCTTCAGTATACCTAGACAACACACAATAGCGGCATGCTGTACAGCACACATTATGAACTGCCATTTTGGTTCCAAAGTCTGCCGCCGGCGCTACTCTTACTTCATACAACTCTGAAGTCATTATGCAGGGAATTGCAGCCGACCATGTTTGCTCACCCGGAATCACATGGATTTTCACTGGTAACCCGCTTTACTATGCATAACTTAATTTGCTGTTGGCAATTTTGTTTCTGCTAAACTTTGGTTCATGGTCATTTTACAGTTGGATCAGGGCATAAGTGACTCTGACTTCCATTCTCCATTTTCTATCCTTTTTTTTTTTTTGGTGACTTTTTTTTGCGTCACGAACGTTGTGTCCGGCACAGTTACTAGTTTTCACTCACCTGTCGCAAACCAGTCGAACAGTTTTTACTAAATAGCCTTTTTGAGAAACCACAGAAGATTGTTAGCCCAAAAAATTGAAGGCACTGTGATTTTATCTCCTTTTTTTGTGAACGAATTGTAAATAAGACTGGAAACCACTTTAATTACGGCTTTCAAGCTGGCCTAACGAGATGGGTTTCTTCTTCGGAATATGTACCGTTTCTCTCTCAGAGTTTTGTAACAAAATCAGTGTTAGTATTGTATTTAAAGCATGAAATTTGACTGTACGATACTTTGTGTCAAACTTCTTATCTTTCTTGAATATTGTGTTTTCGAATTCGTTGTTTGAGTGAGGGGGGAAAAAGAAGAGAATTCCAGGGAAAAGGTGTAGGCAGCAATACCGTACGTAAGATGTCTGTAGATGCTCCGATAGACATTTATGTTTCATCTCGAGATTTTAGAGATAAATAATAAATAAAATTGTGTCGGGCCGGAATAAGCCATTGGCGAGTTACATTTGACTAAAATCTGGTACACGGAGTTCTTTAAATTCACGTGAACATAACAACTTGAATTCTCCATACGAGAACTACTGTTGCTTATACCTCGTGATTTGGGGCAAGCTTTTGCTTAGTCACATAAGAGACGCCTTGCAACAATACACTGTTCTCAATGGATAAGAACGGCACAAAGGAATCAGTCCATTCCAGAGATGGTGGTCGCTGTGCAAAGCTTGCCCTGAATCACGAGGTATAGCAACAGTGTCTTTAGTCGGGGGAATTCAATTTTTTACGTTTCTATGCAACCAGATAACACAGTGTACCAGATTTTATTCAAATTTAACTCGCAAGTGGCTTATTGGGCCAGGGTCAAGAGTTGAGTAGAGTAGACTTGCGATAAATAAAAACGGGCGCTGTTTTTAGCTTTCTCATCAATGCATGGGCTAGAAGAATGCATTAATTGATTATAACACGCCTTTAATTTCATCTATTACCGTAGACATCTTTTGGAAGTCCATGCCTATCCTCCAATAGACGATGTTATTTAAATATACAAAAAAATGTACAAATAAAATATTTCAGAGGTAAACTTAATGTGATTGATTGTTTTCTTGGTTTGAGTTGACCCTTGGAGAGTAGTTTTGAGTGGGATGTTTGCATTCCCAGTTGGCTATTGATAAGAGAGTAAATTGTTCATTGGTGTCGCCAGGGGTGTGTGTAGGGGATTGGGAACCCCTCCCCCACCGGATGTCTTGCTCCCCTTGCCGTCTCCTTTGGAAAGTGGGGAGGTTTTTTTTGGGGGGGGGGATGTCGATACGCAACCTGTAGTGTGTTGTGCATTACTTTAGCGTGGACACGTACACAGGCAAATTTCACAAACTCAGTGGCGTAGCCGGGGGGCGGGCAAGGGAAACTGCCCCCTCCCCCATCTGAGAACAGCATGGCTATGCCACCGCGACTGTTTTCCTTTTTTACTCTATCGAACAGTGGAAGACAGTTCACCAGTTCTTAACATAAAAACCATAGACTTTTGGTGAGCAGAAATTGGATTTTTCGATTGGGAGTTTTGGGTCCTAGCATTGTGTCGTTGATCTGAATAAAAGAACAATCGATTTTGTAAACCTGGTGTGTAAACGATAAGGCACGAGTACGGTTGTTTTTGGCTGCAGTGTTCGTTTGGGGCTTTTCGGATGCGAGGTACTGGTAGGGGTTAAAGTGCAGCTGCAGTGAATTTTTTGGGACCCATTTTCCCGCATTTTTGGACTCTTCTTCAATGTGTGAAAAACTCTTTTACATTCCCATTTGGTTAAATCATGGTTAAATGCATTGAGAAATGGACTTTTTAAACGCTCAAAATTACCCGTGCCTTCCTGGACAACTGAGGGCGCTGGTGCTGTGATGTCATCTAGGAAAGATATAGGTAAGCGTATAGGTTTTTCTGTTGAAATTTTGGACCCAGAATTTACTTACAGTAAACACTTCTGCTTGCTTATTGCCGTGCACATAAGCAACAGTAAATCAGCAAAGGAGAGAACATTCATTCCAGCGTAGTCTACAAAGAGGCAGGACTTTTTTGTGCACAAGCCAAGTGACGTTGAAGATTTCTTCCTGGGATGACATCTTTGTTCTGCTCATGTGGAAATACTCATTAGCACCAAAACCCAAACGGCAGTAAAGTATTTTTGGAAATAGCGGAACAACGGTTGAACGTAAGGTTAACTGAGACAAAGGTGCATTTTGTATTAAAACAAATTGATTACAGCTACCCTTTTGAAGAGGTTAATTAAAGCTAGTAAACGCTATTCTCTCGTTGTACGCTGCCGCCATAGGCACGCAGAGCCTCGAACTGGCAGCTTGTACAATCGCGTCAGAATCGCCTTCGTCCAATCGCACATGGTATAAGGACTAATGCAGCATTGCATACACATGTACACAGGAATCACTATACTATACCGGCTACATGTACTATGTAAAGCTGCCACATCGAGGCTCTCCGTGCCTATGGCGGCAGCGCGCAAAGAGCGAATACCCTGTGAAATCGCTCCACGTCTCTCTTTCACCTTACTGTGCTTGGAGAAAGCTCCTCACAGTCGAGGTTGAAATGTAGCAAAACTGCCGTCAGGAGAAAGTGGCGCGTGAGTTAGATTTTTTCGCACATTAATCATGCACTCCATGTTTGCATATGAGCTTTACATTTTTTTAATGAGGGATTGATGGATTAAAGATGCTCTTTCAAGTTTCACAGACTTTTCCTGCAGTCGATGAGGCTGCATTGCCTGCATACGAAGGTGAGAGAATGATTTAAGCCGGAAATATCCCAAATCTGGGGTAGTTTCAAGGAGAGAAAATGTCGTTCATCTGCTTTCCCGGTATTTCTTCGTCGATGATAGGACGACCTTGCTGATACGGATGCCAAAACCCTGGTCGAAAGTTTACTCATCGACTGAAATTATTCTGTCATCCCTCTTGTGTTGCGCAGACAAGCTGTGTCGCGGATACATGTTAATTTTTCTTGCGTGTGCAGCATTGGATTCCATAACATTTTCCATTTTGGGGATTCGTTCATATCAATAACGTAGCTTGAGAGTGCATGGTGGCAGAGTACATACAACAGGCTAGCAGAACAAATCATACAGACTCGAATTTTGGCAGAGTAAAAAATATGCGATAAAAGCAGTGAACAGTGTACTGCCAAAGTATTCCCGAATCAAGTCTCATTTTACTGGAGCTTCATAGCCTAGTTCCAATGAAACAGAACTTGAATGGAAGATCCTGGCCACATGCCTGGCCTATAAGCTTCCAATTGTTGTTCAATACTTTCACACGATTCCTAGTTGAGGGCAGTTAGGGTTCGGAGACAGCCCGTAGAAGAGCCTAGGGCAATTGTGCTAGACTGACAGGACAGTATGAGATTTTGCTTTCATGGTGGAGGTAGCAAGTATTTAGATAGGTTTACGGTAGCACCATATCAAGTTTTTGAGCATGTGGGGTTCTGAAAAGAACCGGTGGCACTCACTGTTTCGGACAGTATGCTCTGTCCGTCGTCAGGAGACTTCAGGACGGCAGTAGGTCGTGGTCATCAAACTGTATGAAGCACATATAGATAGCCACTGGTGCCGTGGCGGTCTTAGCATCAACCGGCTAGTCAGCTCGTTGTATCTGTTTATTAGCCCCAAATACAGCGTCTATCCCGACTATTCCGACAAACCATAGCATGAGCCGTCCAGTTTTGACAATGCATTGTTTTTCCAAGATATAACTTATTAATTTCCTTTTTCTACCTCCATGATTGCAGTGACTTTAAAATTGGGCGTGCAGTCTGCTTTTCGGAAATTTGCGCATTGGAGAGGAGTGCTGATACTGAAAAAATATAAAAGCAGAATATCTCAGGCCTTTGTAGTTGTCGCTCACGGGTTTGCCTGAGCACTTACCTTTGGGCATGACAACATCACTTGTCACTTGATCTCACCAGTTCCTCGTCTTCAAGTTGTCACCTTGCCAATTCTACCTTCCCCCCCTTAACCGAGGACTACGTGTATGTGCTGAAACGCCGAGGTTTTGCACCACCCTAAACCTCTTTTATAGCAAATTAATATGCAGGCCCTGTGTAACGATGTATTCTCCCCAGGAAAACCAACTATCCTGCTCGACGAAGAGCCCAGAGGGAAGGACCTGCACCGTGACAAACATAGCGACCTACAGCACACAGCCCTGGAAACCAAGGTTCGATTTAATCAACCACCAACTGAACCGTTCTTGTACGCTGAAAACATTTGCTCAGATTCGCACAGTCGACGAAGAACTTAAGTTCACTCGAACAGGTTGATGAATTAGCACTTTCTGCGCGATCTCTTCCCAAGGTCGGCTCGCGTCGGGTCAAAAGGTAGCTTGTGCGTTAATAATAAACGAGGGCGCTGAATATCATTCAAGCGGAGAAACCACCAGTTTACCATGTGTTTAGGTGTCATGTGTGAGCCCATTGTGAATACAATTTGTTCACAGCACCTTGCCCATGCGCTTTAGGCCTATTTCAGAGGATAACATTTTGCACTCGGACGGCGGTCAGACCAGTGCACAGTTGCGGCAAGTCGAAAGTTTGCGGGGGCGTCATAAACTAAGGTACACCTGTTGAATTAAGCTGTTCCCTTAACCGAGAAAAAACATGTAGAAATCAAACAAATAATAGTCAACGCTCTCAGTGTACAGGTCTGTATTAAATGCATTACTCGTTTTATAGGTCATTGTGTGTATCACTCCGGGGAGCGGGGTGTCTACATAGCTTAGGCCGGTAAGTATGTCGGGCCCGTTTTGGCTACATGTACATGTGCATGTAAAGGAAGCTCGCTGCGTCCGGTCATGTTCCGGCCCGTGGGTGTCCGCAGACGTAATGTATCCACTCACTGAAAGCTTTACGCCAGTGAGAAGATAGGGAATCCCTGGCCACACAATAGCCGCAACTGTGAAACCGCCTTGTAAATGGCGAAGTTAAAATACACAAGGCCAAGGACAAGGCACGAAGAATGAGTAAAACGAAAGACAAAAGACTTGAGGTCAGAGGTTGCTAACTCTAGAGGGCGCAATCACTACTACTGACGTTGCTCTGTCCGATCCGCTGGCCGATTCATGATGGTGTCCAGCACATCATGTCTGCAGACCCATCATGCTCGACACATTACGCCGGATAGCTCATGATGACCAGCCGGGTAGCTCATGATGAGCGGCCAATTACGTCAGGAGACCCGGTTTGCTCGGTCGATTTTGTCTGAAGGCAGGTGTGGAGGGGGGGGATTGGAGTCAACACCTCCCCCGCTCTGACACCCAAAATCTTAATGAATATAAAAAGGAAATAACAGTAGCGATTTTAAAAGGATGATATTCTGTAAGGATTTGTTTTTGCACGTCAGTAACGGTGTTATGCATTGATACGTATCCATCCGCCTGTCTGCAACAATCGGGCTTAAAAAAATCGGACAGGCCTGACCGTCCCCTGGAAACATTCGTGGATCCGACGCATCGTGAAAGGAATAATCCAACAAAACATACACAGACATCTTAACATGACTGTGTCTATATCTTCTCTGAAGGAATGTGCGTTATGTGACTCATCGGCAGCGTAATGACGCACTGATACAAAAACTGACCTGATCGGCATAATGGGCCTGGCAGAAATGCGTGTACATAATGGGCCATGAGGACCCAAGAGAGTGGTACCAAGTTTGATGGATCCCAAATTGATATACAATAAAATTTGGCTCTGAAGAATGACTTGTGTCATGATTTTAATGCGAAGATTTCTTGGATCTTCTTAACGTGTGTTGAAATATGTTTTTGACCTGAGGTGAACTTCAAATTTTGGACTCATTTTCCAGTGTTTCCCGAAAATTGTTCTCTGAGTAATGTGAACCCAATTTGATCTTGGTAATTTGTGTCATCCCCATCCAGCTTTAAGCAAGAATTCAGCTTTCTACCTTCAGTGAGGTCTATACGTGTATGAAAGTACAGGTCTAGAGGTATTGACTGCAACAAACATCTCGCTGTGTGTTTCTCACTGACACTAATTTTCCTATCTTAACTCTAGATTCAAGATGTATCGTTTGGGCATCAAGGACTTNACTTCAGCGCTTCAGTGACGGTACACTGACGTGTGAGGCCTACACAAGACGGGTCATCCAACGCGCCCAGGACCTAAAAGTCTTCAACTATTTTGTATCTATGGATACCGAGCGGATGTTGAAGGATGCCCAGGAGGCAGATGCCAGGTACAGGAACAAGACCAACAGGCCTCTGGAAGGCGTCCCGATTGCCATGAAGGACAACATCGACATCGAAGGGGAAGTGACCGGAGCTGGCACCCCGGGCCTTGCCGGCCTTAAGCCAAAGCACACGGCCGAGGTGGCTCGTAGGCTATTCGATGCCGGAGCGATCCATGCCGGTCGGGTGAACATGCACGAGTTGGCGTTTGGGATATCGACTTACAACGCGTACACGGGAGCCAGTCATAACTTTCACAACTTCGACTACACCTGCGGGGGCAGTAGCGGCGGCAGCGGTGGGGTGGTCTCTGCTGATATCGTCCCAGCTGCCTTGGGAACCGACACTGGGGGATCGATTCGGATACCGTCCTCGTACAATGGGGTCTTTGGCCTGCGTCCGACCATTGGACGTTGGCCGGCTGACTACGGTGCCAAGATGACGCATCTCCGGGATTCGGTTGGTCCCCTCGTACGCAGCGCCGAGGACATTGCGATCCTGGACAGCATCGTGACGGGAGAAAAACCCCACGCGGCATTGTCACCGGATGAGATAAGGATAGGCATACCCCGGATTCCGTTCTGGGAAGCCCTGGATCCCGATGTGGAAGACTACGCAGAACGTTTTTTAATAAAACTAAAGGAAAAAGGTTTCGTTATTATCGAGGGGCCAGAGATTCACGGTTCAAGACAGTTGGTTGATAAATGTGACAAGCCGACTGCCACGAACGAGATCATACCACGACTGCAGGATTACCTCAGATACCACGGCCACAATGTCTCTGTTCAGAGTGTCATCGACAAGATCGTTTCGTCAGACGTCAAGGCCCTGTTCGAATACGTCAGGGACAACCTTCCAACCGAGGAAGTCATGAAGTCGGCCATGGCTGCCAGGGCCAAGGTCCGTGAAGATCTGAAGACCTACTTTGAGGACTACCGTCTGGACTGTATCCTGATGCCGGCCAACAAGATCCCAGCGCCAACCCTGCACGCGTTTGAGGAGAACAACGCGAAACTCTTTGCATACATCGTGCAAACTACCAGCTTCGGAAGCATCTGCGATAATCCTTCCCTGGTCATCCCCGGCGGGTTTGCCCAGCCGAGTGGGGTTCCCTTCGGCATGCAGATCGAGAGCTACACAGGCAGTGACAGGCGGCTGATCGCTGTGGCGGTGGCTATAGAAAAGGCTCTGAAATCCTAAATGCCCCATCAACCTCGATAGCATTTGCAGATTACTATAAAAAGTACATCTGTGAAATAAATCATTCATTGTTAATTTTCTCTTTTTACCCCGGGAATTACAACAGAGTTTTTTTGAACATTTGACCATTGTGTTTGATGGTAAATATAGATTAAGGATATCATGGTTAGACACGTCCACACAATGCCTGAGCTTTTTAATTCACCTTGTAAATCTTTCAGGAGAAAGCCTTCAGTGTTGAAAAGACTTGAGTCAATATCATTAAAATATGATCACGAATCTCACTGTTTGCCTTTGTGTTCGTCATATTTGAAAGTGAAACAACTGTATCTGGACTGCCTGTGAATTTCAACAAGAAACTAAAAGCCAAAACCAAGCGCACGATGCGACTTGTTCGTTCTTGAAGCNGGAATTCCCCAGATTCCTGCGCGACAATGACCAATACAAAGCAGGGGGGTTCTCTCCGTCTCATACCTTGCTGCATATGTGAAGCTCATTGCCCTCGTCTTGGTTCCAAGACCAGCGTGTACATGTAATTTATTCTCAGAGCAAATCGCTTCACCGCGATCTTCAGACGAACCACAATCACCCATTCAATTTAGAGCATCTGCACCTTTGAGTCGTTTCTCCCACTTAACCACTTCCCTTCCTAGCCTCCACTGTAGCTAGAGAACATAAAGGTTTATTGTAAAGAACCTTGAGATTAATTCGATCTGTTGTCTATATAGCGTTAGCCAGCTATGACATTTGCATGAATTCGAAAGGTTTACTCCTGGCCGAAGCCGCTTTGGATATCTTTTCGGATGGGTGCACAACTGTTTTTTTTTTTCATTCACATGAACTGTGCAAGCATATCAAGTGACACACAGAGACATCTTGCAGTTGGCCTCGGCAGCGTTTGTGGATCGCGAGGCGCACGTACTGTCTTCGTTACCTCACAATTTCAAATGGATTAGTATTTGTATGCTTAGTAAGTTAGCTGAAGAAGTTACCGATTGCCATAGATATGACTTTGCGGGGTTGGAGACTTTTTACACACCAACAAGCAAGTTTTCCAGGAGGCTGGTTTTGGAACCACACATCCCTGTTTCTTTACAATGGAGACCAGGAACATTTACCACCTGGGAATTACATGCCAACTTTTACAAATCCCTCGGTTATAGTTGAGAAATTCTTTCGTTTGGAAATGCATGCATTTGGAGTATCATCTGTGAAGCATCGATAGGTAAGTTTCTAATTGATTTATCTGTTCTGTTTATACATGAATTGTCATCGTTTTTGTTATTTCTAATAATAGTAATAATGATATAAGTTGTTTGCTTTATCAAGAGTTGAAATTGGGGTTAAAATGAAAGTTAATTGGCTAACTGCGAATTTTAAAAGGAAAAACACAACGGCAAGTAATGGACAATTAAGCGTAACAACTAACGTATAAAATTCAATAAGTGAAACTGATGCGACATTAGGAAATCAAAATAAAAGGGAAAAGGTCGCGTACAAAATGGAAAAGATACATTACAAATATAAATGAAATGAAAGTAGTATTTCACTTTGAGTGAAAATATGTAATCGCCACCGAACACAAAACGAAAAATATTAGCACAGCAAAGCGACTGACTTTATGTGAAAACATCAATCCTAGAAAGGTGTTATGCGACAAGTGGAGTAGAAGCCATTACTATGGTATACTCGGCAAGATATGGGACGGAGGGTAGCCCCCTTGCATGTACAATCCCTACACACACTCTTGTTACCAAACGCATCCCCCACACTAAGAAGAATTCTTGAGATTCCGATCAAACAATGACCAACACAAAGGGGTGTGTGTGTGGGGGGGGTGCTCTCCGTTCCATATCTTGCTTCATTATGTACATAATGCTATGGAGGCAACACTCGTGGACAGATGCACGCGAGGGGGGGGGGAATTACATGCTTTTTGACAAATATAGTGTCATAACTTGGCAAATGCAAGTTTCTTGATCAAAACTTAATGTAACTAGCTTGGGTGATGATAGGCCAAACTTCCACGAGATTCCTTACTACAGTTCGAAGTTGAAGTTGCTCACTGTTTATACAACTTGGCCTGCAGCATGCAGCGTGTAAAGTTCACCCTGTACGCCCACGGCACGAACCGCCGCGGCGGTTCGTGCCGTGGGCGTTCATGGTGAGTATACGGTATTTACAGACCCCTCGTGCCGGGCCACATTATTATGTGTCTGTGTGCCGTGCCAGGGACGTAATAGTGTGTCTCTGTTACTGCATTCAAGCACCGTGGAGGTCAATGTCGCCATTGCGCCGCCTGGATTGTTGCTCACAATCCCAGTCCTTATTATTGCTGTCGCGTTGCGGATCCCATTTCAGTTAATCTCAACCTCGTTCAGGCGGCTGCCAGTTTCCGTTATTGTGAATCTGCTTTGCTGGAGATTGCAAGATTACTAAAGATAAAGGTGAGACACATGATTTTATTTCATTTTTTTTTAATTTATCTATCTTTTAGCCATAGAATTCATATAAATGTTGAAATACAAAGAGGCTGTTTTGAATGTAGATCTAATGTGTAATAGTGATGGGCTGTGGCGAACCATGGAGCTATAGCTCCATGGGTGGAGCGGCCATAAACGGTTCGGTGACTTCCCTTCAACTATAAGGGACCTTGAGTTTGAGGAATTAAACAGATACCAATTAAACAGTTCGGCCCCTATAACAATGTTTTGTGGTCCTTGTTTTGGGGAAATGGGCTCTGTTTTCGCACGACTGATTATAATACTGCACATGATCCACCTGGGTACTCGTCACGCTGTGTAGAGAGGGCCTGCATTTCGTGCGGGACAACAGTTTATGCTGCACAAACACCTCGCTGTGTTTTTGCTAATCACAATTTCTTCTACAGTGTGACACTGATGCTAAATGTTGCTAGTTGTCATGTTGTCTCTTTAGATTCAAGATGTATCGTTTGGGCATCAAGGACCT